TTTCCCCTTTTTGGGGTAAAAATAGTTGATGAAAAAGAAATGAAATGAGTTAAATTTGAAATGGGAGCACATATTTTTCTGTGTTTGAACTTTGAAGTGTGAGGGCAAAAGCATCTTTTTATTTTTTGGGTTTCTTTCCTCTAATCTATAGAGATTCTCTGATTCATTAGCAGTTATGTGATGTGATTTTTGTTCTGTGTTTAGTCAATTCCCTTTTATTTTGCTTAGTGTTCCATTTTATACTTCCTATCAATGTTCTCCCCACAAAAATTTCCTGATAATCTAATTGAGCCATTATATAAATCTTGGAGATAATGACACTTAATAAGATACATACAAGCACCCGAGTTTAATCCCCAATTTAGAAGAAATTTCAAATTTAGAACTATTCGCTTTACTCATTTGTTACAAGTTAGCATCAAAATGAAAACAAACTGAAAAAAGGTCACAAAAAAAAAAACAAAAGGCAACACACAACAGAAAGAGTTGAAACACTAATCCGCATCAAAATCACTTGGAAGTTGTATTCTCCATCAATCGTTCAATTCTCGATTGTTTCAGCATCCATCAATCGATCGATTCTCGAAATCCTATAACAACACGAAAGATAAAATTATACCGATAATTTTTCACAAATTCTTGTGTAATGCACCCTAACGGTTGGACAGGTAGAATCATCATATTTTCTTGAGTGAAAATACTTATACTGACAAATGTCATACTTATATTTAAGTTATTTTTCAAAATATATCACTTGTGTGCATGACCCGTTACTTCTTCAATAGATTTACATACTAGTTTATATTTTACCGTAATTTTTTTCTTTTGGAAACTGAAAATAATACTAATGAGGTTCATTCTTTGTTCCATACCTCGTTTTCATCTCGATACTTGAAGAACATCATTTTGCCTTCAGACTGTACAAGGACTTTGCCATGTAGATATATCAGCCAGGAGATCGCGAAGCTGATCTATCAGACCTTTGAGATGTTTGTTCTTCTCCGCAAGCTTCTATAATTCGAATCACAGTGGATAGCGATTAAAATGAACGCGAAAAAGTCGCAAGAAATAGGAAAATAGTTATTGTATCACATTCACATGGCAGCTAAGAGGGAAAAAAAAAAAACTGACTAAACGAGCATAGAAGAGTATACAATGAATAAGAGTTTATACAAAACTACCCTAAAGTTTTTAGCATAATCAGAACAAAATCTTTTTATCTTCAGCATTATAAACACCAATCTCGCCATAAATTTCTCAGCTAACCATTTGAATTTGCACTCTCAAGAGACAGATGTGCAATGAATGAAGGAGGAACCACAAAAATGTTTTTGCAAATTCGAAAGAAAACTAAAGTTTCTAAATCAGTTGATGAAGTAAGTATTTTTCACAGCTAAACTAAGTGAAATTACCTGTCTTAAGATGGCAGCCTGCTCTTCAAGCTGCTCAGTCTCCATTTCATCATCTGGAGATAATGAGGTACTTGACGAGACTGCCTCGGATGCTGCCTACTTCAGTTAAAAAGAATAAGTCATTTTATAATAAAATCAAGGAATTAGATTTTACAATAAAATTCACGATCCTAAAATGGATGATTGAACATTGAAAAACTCCACCGGGACTTGCCTACAAAGAGAGACATGATTAGCCAATCAAACCAGTTGCTTATGTTGAAACTCAACAAACAATTCACCAAGAAAAAGTTCTCAATGAAGCCAAAATATAAAAATCAACAGTAACAAAGTTGCTGGGTGAAAATGGAATTGGAGATTATTTAAAAAAAAAATGCTATTTCAAGAACGGCTGGTCTCACGTTAGGGTGGCCGAACCATTAAGCCGACATTCTCTTTTAACAAATGACATACTTTCATTATGAAATGTAGTAATTTAAAAAAGAACATCAACATATGTACAACATTTGATAGTGTAAGTATGCATTTTTGTTCAAATAGTATAACGGATCAATCCACCCAACCGTTAGGCTGCCTCACACAATCATTTGTGTTTCAAAGGAAACTCCAAGAGACTATGGATAATGATATACTGTCAGAAATTATCACATGGGTTTCACTCTTGAGCAACCAGAATCAGGAAACTATGCAAAAATCTCCCCGTTAGCACAAATTGCAGAACCTAGTTCTATGAGAATAATAGGTGCAAAATCAGGGTACAAGCGCCTAAGCAAAGTGTACAACCACTAAGGAAACACAAGAAACAGAAACAGCAAAAACACACCTTCTGCGCATTCGAGATTGCGGCGAGGACGGACCTCAGGGACGAGACGGAGGACCTATACCGCAATCTAGCTTCGTCGAGGGCCCCACCTCCGACGTCGGAGCTGTTATGGAGGAGATGCTGAGTGTGGGACGAGTGGACCGCGGAGGACGCGGAGGAAGAGTCCGACAGCACGTCGCCGTTCGATTGGTGGCCGTTGCTCGCCGCGGCCGGGGGAGGAGGATGAGGAGCGGTGGTGGACCAGAGGGAGGGGTTGCAGAGTTCGTCGTTCATGGCGGAGAGGATCAGGAAGGCGGCTCCGATAGTCTCCTCGAGGTGCTTTTGGCCCTCGACGGCGAGCTCCTGTGTGGTTCTGGCGGTGTGGCCGGCGGAGGTGGGTGAGGAGCTAAGGGTCGAGGGCTTGTCCTCCATTGTTGAGATGTGGAGAAAAGACTGAGCTTTTGGAAGTCGGGTTTTTGGGTTGTGGATTTTGAATCAGTTTTTGAAACAAAAGCACGACTTATGTTGAATCAAATTACACCAAGAGATATTGTTACAAAATTAACATGTGTTGCTGAAAATTTACCTTACTCATAAAGAAAATTTTGCCATTTTTATCATTAAA